CAGTGGCTGGTGCTCGTTATGTTGATGTTATACGTCACTATTTCAGTGACTGCTGCTCGTTATGTTCACGCATACTGTACTATTTCAGTGCAAAGGTCCAAGTTTGCAGACAAAGGCAGCCCCTTTGATCAATAAGGCGAGCCCTGGAGGTCTGTATAAAATATTAAGCGTCACTTTCACACAATCAGAATTCAAGAGCCGCGGCGGAAGCTAGAATGATGTTGGTAAGATAGGCAGTACTTTTTGGTGTGGCCTTTATTTTGCGAAAGAAATCTTACCTTTATTTCTCAAGGGGAACTTTGCTTGACGCCATAGCGTTAGCAAAGGCGTTAAGGAAAGGAAAAGGATGTGCGGGAAAATAGGAAGTTCACTAAAGAAAGATTTATTGCAGGTGAGCAAAGGAATCTATCGATCTCTGCTCGCTCCTTTCATGAAGACCAACGACCCGCGACGGTGGAGAAAAATTCTTGCCGGAGCTTTGTATGGGGACTAGACTGAGTGCTATACTGATGAGTGCTATACTGATGAGTGCTATGCTGATGCTGTCTCTTATACACATCTAGATGTGTATAAGAGACAGGAACACGCATACGGGATCATTGTTACAATCATACGGTGAACACGCATACGGGTTCATTGTTACAATCATACGGTGAACACGCATACGTGTTCATTGTTATAGTGATACGGTGAACACAAATACGGATTCATTGTTACAAATTACAATGATACGGTGAACACGAATACGGGTTCATTGTTACAGTGATACGGTGAACACGAATACGGGTTCATTGTTATAACGATACGGCGAACTCAAATGCGGGTTCATTGTTACAATGATACGGTGAACACGAATATGGGTTCATTGTTATAACGATACGGCGAAAACAAATGCAGGTTCATTATTACAATCATACGGTGAACGCGCATACGGGTTCATTGTTACAATCATACGGTGAACACAAATGCGGGTTCGTTGTTACAACGATACATTGAACATGTTAACGGGTTCATTGTAACAATGAGATCGTGAACCGTAAACGGGTTCTTTGTTACAATGATGCAGTGAACACGTACAAGGGTTCATTGCTACCACGATTTCTTGAGTGAGCAGCGAGCGCGACAGTGATACTTGCGGTGGCACGAGTGATAGGTTTGCAAGGGTGACGCGTTCATCGACATAAGCGCCGTGAATTCATATCAAAAGTTTAAATGTTTCTGTTCAAGATTAGCATGTTTTTTTATCGAGATTAGATGAGCCCAAATCATTTTGTGACAGCAGACATTTCGTTTTGACGAGATTTTTAGTCTTTATTGAATGATATCAATGACGACAAAAAATCGATGCAACTCATGATAGCTTTGTAATATTCACAATATTAAAGTCTAAAAACTATTAGGCGCCGTTTCCTGAATGAGAGGAGAATCCTGTCCTTTCAATCGCAAAGGCTGAAAGCATTCACATATAAAACAAAGAAAAATGTCGCAAATATTTTGGCTCCTGACTCGCGTGCAGTTTGTTCAATAGTTAAATTTAATCGTCTATGTCATCATCGTTTTGAATTAACTAACTACATATCTCTGCTTTTACCTTTCGTTGATTTAAGACAAAGGAAGCTCTTACAACGCACCCGTTGAGCCAAAGGTCTTCATGCTCCTGTTATTCCGGCGAGGATTAAATATTCTAGGCCGAATACGAGGCTGATGCAATGATTCAGAGCGCCTTTGAAGGAAATTCTACGGGACGTTCACGCTGCTTCTGAGACATGACAGTCACCATCGCCATGGCCGGACTCTGCAAATATTTACTGAAGTCATAGTAGGCTTTTCCTTCCGTGCAATGATGGCCGTCACTTCAAGCGTCGCTTTGAAGAAAACATCAAAAGTTTCTGAGATCTTATGAATAAGAAACAGGCGAGCACACATAAACTTTCCAGTCGAATTGTTGCTCAAAGTTGACTTCAACCTCTGCATCATTTCATGTGAACGGTCATGAGCTCTGCTAAATAGATAAATTTTAAACTTTCTTCGAAAATTCAGGGAAAACTGTACAACTGTGGGTTAAAATCCTTTTTGTTTTCTTTAACAGCTTACACGATCCATGAAATTATTTCCGTGTTATTTTTTATTTCAATAATTGTGCTTCAGTTATTTCCAGGGACTTGAACTTCAATTTCTTTAGAACATGTTTGAGAACTGTGCGCAACGTTGTTCATATGTGAAGATAATTCTTTGGCGAAGATCAGTGATTTTGATTTGATCATTTCAAAGTCAGACCATTCCAATTGCAGGTAAGTAGTCTTAGTCTTATATCTAAACTTCCTCAATACCAACTTTACAAGCGTACCTTAAAGTTCTAAATAATATATGGATTAATTAAGCAACAAGCAATATGTATTAATTTATTTGATCGAGACAACACGTGCAATTTACCGATTGCAGATCTTTTTAATCAATTTTTCAAATTGCGCACACGATAGAATGCCATGAGCTCTGTTCACGATTTTTAAACCTGCTACCACAATCCCCGGATGTCGCCTCCATTCTTCAGCCTAGATTGCAATTACACCAAAAGCTTTCTTCATCTTCAAAAATTCTGGCTCTGAGCTCCCCACAGTGGCACCTATTCTGGTTCAAATATTTCATGTATCTCTAACGACATCGAGATGCAATTTAGATGAAAAAGGCTCCCTGTTGATCCCAAGCTTGATTAATCACAATCATTAAGCGCCCATTACCATAATTAATTGAGGGCTTAGGTGAAGATTAGCCATGGGCTCTCCAGAAGATAGAACGCCGGACCCGCCGCCCTGACGTTGCACAAATGGCCCGGGAGAACCCCTCCCTCTACTGGAGAAGAGAGGGACGCGTGTTATAGGTTTGTTGCTTTGCTGCTATGAGATGCACAGTGGAAAAATAGCAACTTTCGAAACATTATTTCAAATACTTTCGTGATCTTATTGCTACTTCAAATAAATTACAGTTCAAGAGGGCTGATCCATACGTAAATATTGGTTATATGATTTCTGTAAAGTAATGTTGAATAATTATTTTCAGATTTGTGGAATCCAATCTTCAAGATACTTATATTTTTTGAAAGAATGATCAATAGAATAGAGTTATTGAAATCTTCCAATATTTTTGTACATGAAGTTTTGGAACATTTTTATACTTTTTGTTTGGCATTTTCGGTCACTCCGGAACGGACAAAAAACTGTCCAAATTAAACAAATATTAGCAATGGAACTTCATGAAACTTCAAGAATTCCACCCTCAAGCGGGAGGTGCGACTCAACACTGCAAAAATAATTATGGAGGCCTAAATCCCGCCAGTGGTTCACATCCACATTTTGCTCCAAATCCATCAATTATGATCGCAAAATCCAAGATTTACTGCAAGCACTGCATTTACTTATTTATTCATATTACATTGCAAGCACTTTCGAACACCGTAACCATCTTAGAGAATACAAGCCTCCAAGCAGGGAACGTATAGTATAAAAGGTGGCCGTTTGCTATGCTGATCACGAGCGGCCGCCTTATGGCGCGTGTGCCGCAAGATCCTTTGAGGAATCGAGTCCTGGCCAACCTCTTATTTTCCTGCACTTTGGAGTGGCTTGATTCGATGCGAGCTCCAGGATTCTAACAAACCCTTATTTTTACTCGCCTGCAGACTAGCATGAATCAATGCAAGCCCCAAATTTTGGTAAAAACACTTTTTTTCTTACCCTGAAGTTGGTTTGATTCCATATAGACCCAGAATTATGCAAAACCCTTACCGACTACAGACTAGCTTGATTCAATGCAAGCCCCAAAGTTTGGAACAACCACCTATTTCTCAACGACTTAGGAGAAGCGTGATCCAAACGAAGGCTGCATTTGATGTAACTTCATCTCTGTAACTTCACCATCCTGTACTCTGTAAACTCAGTGTGCAGTCTTCAGGAAAGCACAGTCCATTTAGCTTGACTTTGACGTCAATTTTTGCATAAATTTTTAACCCATCTCTACAGCGGCGAAATTTCAATCTCCAACTCACATTCGTGGCCCTATTTGTAGGGTTGAATCAAATATATTATTTGAGTCAACCCCACTCAGCATAATTTCTTTCGTAATCCCTTAACATATGAGTTACTCAGTTTCATATTCATAAACCGTTATAATCATTTATAGTTAATATAATTCTTACATTATTTAAGAATAATTTTAAAATTTGATCCTATAATAAAACTTAGCACTTTGCAAAACTGACACTCATTCTACATTACAACAACTCGGAATTGTTTTTGATAGTACAGTCATTATATTACGTAGTTATGATTAGTTATATCTTCCATAGTACAGTTAGTTATTATATTTCAAAGTACAGTCAAAGTACAGAGAAGCATGGCCGCCGTTCCGTGCCCGGCCTCCCTAAGAGCCTCTCTGGCAGCGCTTGGCCGCATCCATCGAATTCAAATTAGGGAAGCTGTTATCGCATAAAATCCAGGTATGGTGAACTCATAATTACGGCCTCACATCATATTACTACTTCTATGTTTTTGTGATACGATTTTCGTTATTTGGTTATTTATTCGTTCCGTTTTATTCTTTTATTAGCTGTATTGATATTAATGAAGTTTTATTAGCGTCACATGTAAAATTACTGTTTCATCCATTTTTGCTGAACTTTAAGCGTGTGTTAGTCTCGATATTTTTTTGTTCAACTTATTTTCCACTAACTTGAATGAATTGAATTCGGACTTTTGCGTGAAACCTTGTACAATCCAATATGATGAGGAAAGTAACACGATATCTTCACTTAAAATATTTACTCATAAATGCCTGAACTGTAAAACAATAAAAACTTTTATGTTTTTGGCCTGTAGACAAGCTCAAGCCAAAATGTAATATGAAAAACAAATTCCGACGTCAAAGTGATGGAAGCATTAGGACAAAAAAATGGAGAAAACTCCACGGCAAAAGACAGCCAGCGTTGAGCAGCTGATCCTCTCAGAGCTCTAGCGATCCTCGTGCAGCTTTTCGCGCTCTCTTCTCTGCCGTAAAATTTTTAGTTCAGTAACCCCGGTTGTCGCGAGGGCGGCTACACGCATAAAATCATCCACGAGAATCGTGTCAGGGCTCCTGTATGGACGGCATAAATTTACGTTATGACTATGCGCATCGACCCTGGATGGGATGCATCTTCTCTCTCTATAATAGTACAGGAATGTATAAATGAATGCCCACCTGAATTATTGTTGCCGTATAAATGAGTAGCAAACGTGTTGCTCCTGTATAAATCACTGCCCATGTTATTACTTCGGTATAAATGCCTTACTGAATTATTGATGCGGTATGAATGAGTACCAAATGTTTTGTTCCTGTATAAATTACTGCCTATGGTATTACTTCGGTATAAGTGCCTTACCGAATTGTTGCTTCGGCATACTGTAAATGCCTACGAAAAGTATTGCTTCAGCATAAGGCTTAACTAAAGTATTGCTTCGTTTTCTCTTTAAAATAATTCAATCGGTTCTTAAAACTGTTCCACCACATGATAAAAAATTTCATGGTCAGCATTGGAAGTTTTTGTGCCTAAAAGGTTACTTAAGAGCAAGAACATATATAGAAAATTTTAGGTTAATGTTCAATTGAGTCCGAAGCAGAGAGATACATTACAGTTACACGTTGTTTTTATCACAATGTTCACGTCACAGTGCGCGTTGTTTTTATTTTCTCATAATTTCTTTAGTGTTATATTCTTCGTCTCTAATTTATCATAAGTATCGGCGTTGTGCCTGACAGAAAAAAAGATTCCAAAAATAATTGAGTATAGAAAAGGAACTGAAGCAAAGAATGAGAACTGAGTCTAGAAAAAGAACGGAGTCCGGAATGAGACCTGAGTACACAATGAGAGCTGAGTTCGGAATGATAACTGAGTCAAGAATGAGAGCTGGGTCCGGAATGCGAACTGAGTCCATCATTAAATTAAATTATAAACATCGACTTTTTCCATTACAATCTTCCAGCTGCGATGTTATTTTTACCGCAGGTTAAAATTGAATGATTCTGGAACAAATTAGGTGGAATATTTCTTCTCTCCCTATTTTTGTTTCTAACGTTGAGTTCTTCTCGTCTCTTCAGCTTTGGATTCTGT